GTGTGGCGTCACGTGTGCGTCTGTGTGCTTGCGTGTGTGAACGTGTGCGTCTGTGTGCTTGCGTGTGTGAACGTGTGTGAACGTGTGCGTCTGTGTGCTTGCGTGTGTGAACGTGTGCGTCTGTGTGCTTTGCGTGTGTGAACGTGTGCGTACTGTTGTTGCGTGTGTGAACGTGTGCGTCTGTGTTGCGTGTGTGTGTGCGTCTGTGTGTTGCGTGTGTGATCTGCGGGTCTGTGTGCTTGCGTGTGTGATCGTGTGCGCTGTGAACTGTGAACGTGTGCGTCTGTGTGCTTGGTCACGGGTGTGTGCTGTGTTGCGTGTGTGAACGTGTGCGTGCTGTGTGCTTGCGTGTGTGAACGTGTGCGTCTGTGTGCTTGCGTGTGTAAATCTGTGTGCCTTGCGTGTGTTAACGTGTGCGTCTGTGTGCTTGCGGTGTGTGATTCCTGCGGTCTGTGTGCTTGCGTGCTTGTGTGACTGTGTGTTGCGTGTGTGAACGTGTGCGTCTGTGTGCTTGCGTGTGTGAACGTGTGCGTCTGTGTGCTTGCGTGTGTGAACGTGTGCGTCTGTGTGCTTGCGTGTGTGAACGTGTGCGTCTGTGTGCTTGCGTGTGTGCGTCTGTGTGCTTGCGTGTGTGAACGTGTGCGTCTGTGTGCTTGCGTGTTGTGTGAAACGTGTGCGTCTGTGTGCTTTCGTGTGTGAACGTGTGGTCTGTGTGCTTGCGTGTGTGAACGTGTGGTCTGTGTGCTTTGCGTGTGTGAAGTGTGTGGTCTGTGTGCTTGCGTGTGTGAACGTGTGGTCTGTGTGCTTGCGTGTGTGAACGTGTGCGTCTGTGTGCTTGTGTGCTTGCGTGTTTGCGTGTGTGTCTGTGTGCTTGCGTGTGTGTGGTGTGTCTGTGTGCTTGCGTGTGTGATCGTGTGCGTCTGTGTGCTTGCGTGTGTGAACGTGTGAGTCTGTGTGCTTGCGTGTGTGTGTGTGTACTTGCGTGTGTGATCGTGTGTGTGTGTGTACTTGCGTGTGTGATCGTGTGTGTCTGTGCTTGCGTTTGTGATCGTGTATGTCTGTGAGTTACGTGTGTGATCGTGTGCGTCTGTGTGCTTGCGTGTGTGTGTGTCTGTGTACTTGCGTGTGTGATCGTGTGTGTCTGTGTGTTTGCGTGTGTTTATGTGTGTGTGTCTCTATGTCTGCTTTTTCCTATGTGTAATGTTTGTTTGATTATTGTCAGTGTCAGTTTAATGCCCTTGATTCCACTTCACTCCCACCAATTCTCCCTGGCTCCCCGGGGCCCCTCCCCCCTCGCCCAAAGGCCCCCTCGTGCATTTCGTGTGCCATTCCTGCAGAGCCGACGCGCGACAGGGGGCGTGGTACGAGCGTGCCTCTGGCGGTGATGGTGGGCGGCGGGCTGGCTGCAGTGCCAGTTGTGGTGGTGGCAGCTGTCCTCATCTGGCTCCGGGTTTGTCGTCGGGCTGGTGGAAATGGTGGCAGCGAGGACGGCAGCTCGGAGGGCAGGGACAGACGGCCCTCCACCCACAGCAAGGACGGCGGCTCCACTGACCTGGCGTCGGAGGTCACGCAGGCGGACGAGAGGAACCCGGACATCATTTCTCACACACCTGGTGAGGAAAGCGCTTCGGTGTTCTCAAGTGACCCTTTCTTTCAAAATGTTCCCACGTCTTTTTTATTATTTTCTTCTCTCTATTTTTGTCTGTTCTTATTTTTTTCTTATTCGTCCTTTTTTTCCTTCTTTTACTCTTCTTTTCTGTTCTTTTTTTGTTATCTGTCTGCTTTTCTTCTTTTCTCTTTCTCATTTTCTTTTCATTTCTGCTTCCTTTTTCTTTTATTCTCATTGGTTTTCTTGTTTTCCCTATCTGCTTTTCTTTTCACCTCTGTCTCGTTCTTTTTTTTATCTATCTCCTTTTTCCTTGACTTATTGGCATCTTTTCTCTTTCCCCTATCTCTATTTTCTTTCTTCTGTATTTTTTTAAATTCTATGTCTTCCCCTTTTTCCCTCTATCCTTTTTTTCTTTTTTTCTCTGTCTCTCTCTTCTATTTTTTCTTTCTTTCTTTACTTCTCTATACATTTTCCTTTTATCTGTCGCTCTTCTATTTCTTCTTTTTGCATTACTCCCCAGTCTATTTTTCTTTTCTTCTCTTTTTAATTTCTATGTCTCATTTCTTCTCTTTTCTTTCATGCCTCTTTTCTTTCCTTTTCTGTCTCCTATTCCTTTTCTTTCTGTCTTTTTTCCTATTATCTTTCTCTCTCTTTTCCTATCCTTTTCTGACTTTTCTGAATTACTTTTCTTCTATGTTTCTTATCTTTACTTCTCTGTCTCTCTTCCTGCATTTTTTCTGCTTTGTTTTCTCCATTATTACCTTTTCTTCACGTCCGTTTTCTTATTGATGTTGTTGTTTTTATTTTTTTTTTTTCCATATCCTTTACTTATCCCATCTGCTTTTTCTTATCTGCGTCTTTGTCTCTCTTCTGTTCAATCTGTCTGTTTAT